GGGGGAGGGAGACTGGGGGGGGGGTCTGCCTGGGAGAGGCTCTTATCCAAGTATATGGGGTGGGGGGGCAATGCTCCCTCTGAGCCAGAGGTGTTGAGCTCTGTAATGATTCTTTGTTTTAAGAGTGTGTGTGTCTCTTTAAATGTTTGGTTGCAGTGCAGTGACTGCAGCGTAGAGTGCTTGAGGGAGACAGGTGTGGGGTGATTGGAGGATGAGAGGGTGTGGGAGGAGTTCTTGAAGTGGATCTGTGTGGAGTGTCAGTGAGTTATAGAAAAGTCAGTTATGGAAGTCAGTTAGAGAAAGCGGAGTTTTGAGTTGGAGTCAATAGTCAGTGAGTGAGCTGACAGTGTTTCTGTGGAAAATAAAGAATTTAGAACGCAGTATATATGTCTTCAAAAGTGAGACTCTAAAGATCTGGAAGGAAGTTAAAATTACCAAGAGGTTAGCCTGTGTGGCTGCCTATGCGTGAGATGTTGTATGGGGTAGAGATTTGGGGTTGGAATGAGTCGATGCTAACCCTGATTGAAACTGTGCAAAACTATTTCATGAGACGGATTTTGGTTTTGCCTAAAGGTTCACCTGTGGCGCTGATGAGGATAGAATTGGGCATGGCATCGCTGAAAGCCAGGGCAAATGTAAGAATTCTTTCCTACTGGAGGAAATGTCAGGAATGACCCCAGGGTATCCTAGGGGTCCAAAGTTTTGGATTATTGTTGAAATCTTCCAAAAATTTAAATTATCTGTCTTCTATCCTACAGGAATACTCAATTACGGATGACCTAATGGGTTTAGCGGACAATGATAATCAAAAGTCCAAATTGAAGGAATGGGTATTTCATAAGAATGGCCATTTGAACCTTCATGCAGCGGCAAGTTGCCGAACGGCCCCTCTGTTTAAGATCTTTAAAAGAGATCACTGTAGGACTGGCTATTTAGAGAAATTAACCAATCTTGACCTAAGAAGGGCATTTACAGCCCTCAGATTCCATGCCATTCCTTCAATGGTCTGTGTTGGTCATTTTATGGGTTTACCTCTTGCCTTAAGAATCTGCCAATGTGGTTTGGGTGAAGTGGATGATATTGAGCACTATTTACTGAGATGCTCATGGTACGAATCACTTAGGCAGAGATTTATATACCCTATTTTACCTTTGCACAATGGATTCTCAAAACAGGAGTTGGTTGGTTTTTTGCTCTCTGATATGGACGTATATGTTACCAGCAGAATGTCCCTGTTTGCTTTGGCGGCAAAAAAGATAAGATTAAGGTTAGGATTCAGCGCAAGTTAGTGAAGGGATAACTTAATGTGATGTATAAGGATTGTGTCTGTATTTATGCTTTGTTATGGCCAATGGCTAATACAATAAACTTGATGATGATGATGCCTATGCGTGAGATCCCTGTCAGAGTGGGATCTTAATGTCAACAGGGCAGTGGGTGTGATGCCTTTGACAGACATATTTACAAGTCCCTTATTTCCCAAACAGTTACAGAATAACCAACCTCATATTTTGTTCTTATTTCAATAAATCATCTTTTGTTCAAGTTTATCCCAGAATTCAGTTCTATCTTTCCTCAGGACCACATAGATCCCTGAAAAGCCCAGACTCTGGGTCACATTACCAACAGCAAGGGAGAGAAGGTTTGGAAATCCTTAAATTCCTGGTGGCAGCAGAAAATACCCAGCTTAAAAAAGCAAAGAACACATATAAAGTGAAAACCAGTCCTCCCAAATAAGAGGGCGCCACAAACTCATTTGTGATGAGGGCCGGATCTGACATAAATGAGACCTTGTCCGGCCGGGCCATGTGTGTCATAAAATGTAATGCCAGGCAGCCGAGATATAAACTTTATAAAGGACACACAAACACAAAGGGTTTGGTTTTTTTTACTTAAAATAAAAAACATGCTTAAGACATTAGCTCTGTAAGCTGCAAAACTACTTTTGATTTATCGACATTCACCACAGAAACCCCATGCTCAGAGTCCTGAGTCTAGGACCCAGGTTGAAACATGAAATGGCTGAGTGATTAAGGAAGTCTGGCGAAGCAAGCTATGATGCAGCAGCAGCAGCAGAACTGGAAACAGGAGATGGCCAGTTCCACTGTGGGCCTGATGGAAGTTTTCCAGGGGCCTGATCCAGCCCCCCGGGCCACATGTTGGACACCCCTACTCTAAGATATGGAGTCTTGTGAGCAAAAATTCTACTTTGTGAGCTACCAGCATGAAAGTTGTGAGTGAGTGATTTGGCTACTGCTTAAATTAGTTTTCTCTGGAGCCATCCTTCCCAAGCCAAGGCAAAAATGTGTGAGCCGGAGGCTAAGAAACTGTGAGCCAGCTCACACTAACTCAACTTAGAGGGAACACTGGGTGGGGGTAGACCTTTCCTTCTCTTAAATATATAAGTAAATTTGAAAGCAAAAGTGAAAACGGTTGGTGATTCAAGAAAGGAAAGAGATACCATTCTTACTCAATAAGTGATTAAATTGGGGGATCTGCTGCAGGTGGATTTAGCGGTAGCTACAAGCCAACCTAGCAGTTCGAAAGCAAGAAGTTGCAAGTAGGTAAACAGGTACCACTTCAGTGGGAAGGTAATAGCGTTCCGTGCGCCTCGGTGTTTAGTCTTGCCGGCCACATGACCATGAGAAGTCTTTGGACAGCGTTGGCTCTTCGGCTTGGAAACGGAGATGAGCACCGCCCCCTAGAGTAGGATTCGACTGGCTTTCGAGCAGGGGAAACCTGTACCTTTACCTTAGAAGCACGGAGGATTTTGAAACAGGTTCATGGAGGAGAGGGGCCATCTAGCCATTACATCTCAAGGGGGAACCTCCATGTTCAGAGGCGGCAAACCTCTGAATCCCAGTGCTAGGAGGCAAAGCCAGGGCCTTGGCCTCCATGCCCTGTTTGTTGGCCCTCAGGGCCAACGGGCTGTCTGAAATGTTGACAGAGCAGGAGACTGATCTGGTCTGGCCCAATGTGCTCCTTAGGCCGCACTCCGAGTCCTGTAAGTGGCTGGGAGAAAGTAGCCTTGCTAGCCAGCTGCAGCTGAAATAGCAAAAAGGAATCTGGTGGCATTACAAAGACACATGTGTTTGTAGCATAAATTTTGCCACACAGTTTTGTTCCCCAGTCTGATGTTGGGAAGGCTCTTGGTACCTGGAGATTGCCTTGGTAGTGCCTGCTCAGGATTTCTGAGGCACCTGAAAGCAACAGCTTTTTTTATCCTAGTGTAAACGTCTGTGGATCGGTGGCCGCCTTGTCTGATGCAAGTGAGCTGTAATCCATGGAAGTTTATGCAGCCTAACCTTTAACGTGCTGCATGGCTCCTCTTTGTGCTTATTGCATGGGGCTTGTGAAACTAGCCTCCTGGAATCTGTGGTGTTTCATCCCTTTCTCTCTCACACACACTTTCATTCCCCCCACCCCTCTCGTTGCCTCCTTCTTCAACAGTGCTTATCAGAGCCACCCTGACCTCCCTGGTCTTGCACCTCAACTGTCCCCCTTCACTGCCTGACCCTTTTCTGTTTCCTCTGTTCTGATTAATGCCAGACTCTTCCACCACTTTCTCGTCTGGCTATAAATCCTGCAGGCAGGAGCTCAACCACTGTTTTTTGCTGCTTCTTTGTGGCATCACTTTAGCAAGAGATGCTACTATAGTCTTCTGCAGTGCCAGGTGTTTCCAGACATAAGCGCCATCCCAGACATTCTGTAGTTTCTCCTTGTAGTCTCTAGCTTTGCTAACCATTGGGGGTTGTTTCCTAGGAGATGGTCTGAATTTGCTTGATTACACTGTTCTTGTGGTACCAAAAGTCAGTGTGGCC